ATCGAGACCACCTTATAATATTATATATGGATCGATTTGGTATAAAATGCTGTACAATTTTTGTCCTTACAAAAACTTACAAATTTTGCAAAGGTAATGAATAGGGGGGGGTTCAAAAATTTGATGTTTTTGAAAAAATTTAATATATTGTTTCAAAAAGCGTTAAATACTGTACAACTTTTGTAGGAAATATTTTTTCATATACCTTATATTTTAGGAAATATTCAATAAAAATGGAAAAGTAATTTTTTTTCAAGGGGCTGTTTCAACCCCTAAACTCAATATATGGCCGATAAAAAAAATACGTGTCGACTACTTTTTGATGCTCTACAACATATCCAAAGCGCATCAAAATCGGAGGGGGACAGTTCCGCAACTTCCTTGTGAGAGAAAAAAAATTAGTTGATCTAAAATTATAATTACTTTTGGCTCCCCCAAACATACTTTTTATGGTAAAATGGTAGCAAAATAACATGCATATGAGGTTATTATCACTAACATTATAGTAGAATTTAATTAAAAAGAATGATTCTCGCAACCATAATTTATAGTAATTATTTCTTTATGTGGTTATAGTTACAAGTACCAAACATTTTTTTCTCAGTGTAGGGCTGGATCTACCGCAAAGCGCGCCAACGATTCGAGGTTCAAATTTGATTTTCGCTTACTCATACATTTCTCTCCCTTCAGCCTCCCGTTAATCATCACCACAAGGTCAAGGTAATTAATTAAGCGAAGAATATTATTTTCTTCCGCGCGACATTTCCTCAGGTAAGCCAGTCTCGACGCTTCCGCTTCGAGACCCGACATATATAGAGATCCGCCCCTACTCTTTCCGCATAGACTTATAGAGTAGACTGCGCACCCCTACGGAACGGTTGATGACAAGATTGAAGAATGATTGATTGAAATACGCTAACAAGTAAACCGTCGCAAATATCCCTCACCGATTTGGATTGGTTTCGGATATGTTGCAGAACAGCATAATAGAATAATTAAATTATGTTTTTTTATATGTGCTATTTCGACGTTCAGAAGTTGAGACCACACCTCGAAAATAACAGAATTTTTATTTTTAGAAAATATTTTCTAAACTATGAAATATATAAATAAAATGATTAGAACAAAATTATGGTATTTGATGCTCTTTATCATGGTGTATTCAGATTTTCTAAAAATATCAAATTTTACAACTTACCCCCACCCCCATAATTTTTGCAACTCAAAAATTTTATAGAAACAAAACTTAAAAAGCAAAAAACCAAATTTACTTATATATAATATGATGTTTGGTCGATTTTATCATAAATTTGCAAAAATTATAATAAAGAATAGGGAGTAAATTATAAAACTTGATATTTAAAAAAAAATCTAAATATATCATTATAAAAAGCATCAAATACCGTTTAACTTTCCTCTAATAATTTTTTTATGTATGTTATAGTTTAGAAAATATTCCCCAAAAATGAAGAAATCTGTTATTTTCGAGTTTCAACCACCTAAACGTCGAGATAAGCATATATAAAAAAATATGACCCAATTATTTTTTGCTGTTCTATAACATATCTGAAACCTACTCAAATCGGGACACTTGCGACGATTAACTTGTAAGTTTTTCCCGCGACTTGCTCATTAGACGCGCATCACTCCGACGAAGATCGCGCTCGAATATTCGGTGCGCGACGCGCGATACGTGATGAAAGGAATATCCAAATGAATGAAATAGGTAGTAATAAAGAAAAATAACTCGAAAATACAAAACAGCGATCGTATCGACGAGCGAGAACGCTGTAATGCGAGAATCAAGCTGTTCGCTTGCGCAGCGAGCGGCCAGAATTCCCGAAAGAGATCTTGGACACCGGTCGATTCTCCGCTCGGCAGTTTCGAATAAAATACATGACCATGTTTGTATTTTCATCTCCCTCAACCACCTGGACATTCATCTCATCTCTATTCCTTTATCTTTCTCTCTCTCTTTCTCTCTCTTTCTCTCTCCCCCTCCCTCGTACGCGCACGATATATCCGAGCGATTTAATTTAATTTGTACTCAAAGCGACAACGCAAGTAAAGTTTGTACCGTTTGTATGCTTTAAATAAACTGTTGCGGAAGGAAGTCGACGAGTGGATTTCTCCTGGCAATGCGCATGTTAAATAACGACAATAGTACGATAAAACGGGACGACTGTCTCCCCGTGCCATGAATACGATCGTTAAACTTTAGCGGTTCGTGAAATCCTAGTTCGGCACTCCGGCTGATGAGCAGTCGGGACTGGAAGTTCGGCATCTCTCCGGCATCAATAGAAGCACCGCGGCCAACTCCGCCGCCGTCGTCGTATCCTAAGATCATTATTTGCACGGATATTCCTCAACTTGCGTAATCGTATTAGTCCCCCGTGTTCCAGTCCGGTTAGACGACTCTACAATGTACACCTGGCGTCTCGGGTCAAACCGTAACAAGCGTTCCGTCCCAGATCAATCAGAGTCTGTCAATTATTCCCGGGGAAATAGCTGCCGGGCGCCGATCAAGTAGTTCAAGTAAACGATATTTGATAACCCGACTGCTCGGTATTTATTCCGACGCGACGGTCCAGTTTGTGCTTTCCAGTACGAAACGATTGGAAATATTTACTCACGCTATTTTTTATCATCCATTTCGTTCTGTAACTATTAAAACATAACGTTAAATGTTAGTAATTAAAATATATAATCAAGTAATAAGTATATCATATAACTTGATGAGAGTTTTTTCCAGTAAATTCTCATTGACGTTTTCCTTTGCGTAAATACATTCTTTCGAGTTCAGCAAACGTTCCTGCTTTCTTTAAATTCTTATATTTGTATCGACAATAATATTAAACGCTCCACTGAAGGATCTTGCTAAAAGAACCATAGTATTATAATTAGATAAATCGCGCGCATACACACTTTATTTTTACAACGTGAATTTTTTGATAATTACTGATTAAATGATTTCAATATCTGCAAGCTTTACATTTTGTTTTTATCAAGTTATGAAATTTCCAAAGTTAGGAACATTATGTTAGACAATTACCTAATTGCAATTCCGCCACTTCAATACGCTCATAAACAAATAACAGCTTATGTACATAGCATCCAGTGACGGTTAATGAAATGGATTGTCGATTAGAGTGTCTCAATACTCGAGAATAGAAACAAAATCATCTTACAATGTATAGCATTGTAGATTAATGTTATCCCTACAGTTTCGTAATTTACAATACGTTGAAATTTCTACAATAATAGAAATAAATGGAGATATTTTAAATGAAAAATTAAAAGTTTCATTTTTTCCGTACTAAAAGATTAATCTGAACCATTGCGCGATAATCGTTCTTTATCACTTGTTGAAGAACTTGTAATCATGAAAAGCAACAACTTCCTGTTCTTTCCGGTTTCTATAAATTATCTGTGAAAAGAAGACTGCTCAAACGCCCAAGATTTGTCGAAAGTCGCGCACGTTATTAGGATTTTCAGGAGGGTCGGTGAAAGAAGCAAGCAGGTGAACGAGATTTGTGGTCACAGGGCAAGTGAAAAGGTGAGTGAGTCAATAAATATATAATTTATTAAATGCAATGATGAAATGGTGTAACAATAGAGAGGCGGGCGAAACGGCGACCGTGTTGGCCGCCGCGAGGGCGGACAAGAGATAATACGCCGCCCCCGCCCGGCGCCCCCGGATCGGAAATATAGATAAAATATTTTCGTTATTATTTACAATATTAGTCGAACGTTAGTCAATAAATAATAAACAGTGGCGCGCGCGTAATCCCTTTATTTAATATATATATAATTTAATCATATATATATTTATATATATATTTATATATATTTATAATATTACGCTTGCGATAATAAAAATATTACAAGAGATGGAGCCTTTACCGTTTATTCGTTTCCACTAAAATCTAGCGCGTACGTGCCGCATCTAACACGCAGCCCTTGTTCCAAAAACCGCCCCGGCGGCCGATTTCGATCCCCCTCGGGGATTGCCATCCCACCCTCGCCGTTCCGCGGCGATTACGTTGGCAAGGAGGATTGAGATCCTCATGGGGCCGGGCTGGATTCTGGAACGCGGAAACGTCGAGAGCGGATTGATGTCGAAATAGCCGTCGAAACCATCATCATCATCATTATCATCATCGTCATCATCATCATCATCATTATCATCATCATCATCATCATGAACGTTCTCTCTCTATTCGCGAGAGAATCACGCTCTCTTTCCCATCCGCGAAAAAACCGGCGACGGGACCGAACAACAAATGGCAAAAATCATCAGCGTATATTATTTACCGACACGCGTCCACGAAGCGGAGAAATGATCTTCGCGACGGCGACGGCGCGAAGAGCCGCCGCCGTCGTGCGTCCGATTATCACAACGAAAGTACGCGCGATATGCTTTGGACGTTATTATCATCGAGCGGAATTAAAAGGCGGTGTCTGTGTTCTATGTGTATGTCTGTGGAGGGGGGAGGGGGGTAAGAGTGTGAACGCCGCCACGCGAGACTAGTAGTAGCGTCGTGTGTAGCACGGACCAGGCAGGCAGCAAGCAGGTACGAAGTGATCGTCGCGACGAAGGAACAATGTGTGTATATGTGTATGCGTATGGATTTGTATGTGTGTGCATATGTGTTTGTTTTGGATTTCCGCGATCCCTGTACTGCTTGTCTCTGTGATTTCTCGTGATTGTGTCATTTCGCATCTTCGTGTCCTCTGTGTGACTCTGTTAGCATATGTGCATCTATGTAGCTTCCACCACGTGTCTATAGAACTGGTCTATATAATTGTCCATTATATGTAAACTACCCCCTGTGTATCCCCCGTCTTTGTAATTCTGTATCCCTCTGTGTTCCCGTGGCTTCGTGGCTTCTCTGAATTCGTGTGATTTCGTGTTCAATGCATCTGTCTGTCTCTCTGTGGTGTGTCTGTGTGTATTCGTGTATGTCGTCTCCGTGTCTGTACAAACGTGATAGGCACCGATCCGATCGTTTCGACCCTTTCGACATCGTGACGCGCGCGACGCGCCAGGCGTCGCGTGTCCGCGCGATCGCGCGCCCGCGAGTCGTGCACCCCAAGCGCGCGGACCGCGACAGAAGCTCCGGATGTGACCGTGCCGGCGAAGTTTTGCGCTTCCTCTGATTCTCCCTCCGCTCCTTCGTCTTCTCCCTCTTCTCTTTATTTTGTAAAAAATATACGGAAAGGTTTCTGCGAGATATATAGAGCCGGAACGACGTTCGAGCCGCGACGGAGGCGTTCCGCGCCGACGATCGCGTGGGCTTTCACGTTCGCGATTTATCTTTTTTTTCCTCCTCTCTCTCTCAAATCGCGATATTTCCGATTCGCACCGTCCCCTTGACTACACGCGGGGTACGATTCGCGAAACGCTTTTGGAGCGGAACGGCAACGAGGCGGAATAACCGGGCGGGCTCGCGACTACGAGAACCACGGGACACCTCGCGCGATCTTCCTCTCGCGCGCGCGTGTCTCGTGTGATTCTGGAGACTGGACAATTGGAAATATTTGAATCTCTATTTTTTTTTCTTCTTCTTAGCGCGAATTCTCAATCGTTCCCGGACTTAGGAGAGAAATTAGTTCTGTTCTTTTTTTCTTTTTTTTTCTGATTTTATCTCTTGCTTAATAGTCCGCTATTATATACCCTACTGATTCGTCTCTGCATCTAGAGAGTAGTTTGAAAAGTGGTATGACATAGTGTGTGTGTATATGTGTATATATATGTGTGGTGTCTGTATATGTGGTGTGAACGTGTAACGGAGTTTCTTTTTTATTTGCCATCTGTGTATGGGTGTGTGTGTGTGTGTGTCATCGAGATTATAATTGTATAATAAAGTTATAATTAATTATTTAATTAATTAAAGTGGCAGCAATTAGGCCATGCGGCTCCTATCATCTAGTCGTCTTTGACTTCTTGGCTTTCTTACGTAGATTTAAAAATCTTTTTTCTCCTTTTACTTATTAAACTTCTTTTATATTTTGAGAATAATTTGTATTAAATGACTTTTTAAAGTTTATGTATCCTCGAAGCGCCTACCCTAGCGATGTCTTTTTAAGTAAGATTTTTTTTTTCAGCAATCTGACTTCTCCCCCATTCTCCTTCCACCCCCCATTCTCTCCTTCTCTCTTTCTACCTTTCAGTCAGTTTCTATCTATCGCTCCCGCAAACTCTTCACCCTCTTTGTGCACAAACACACCTCGTCTAGCTTGTTGCCGCGTGTACGTGGTGGAATCGTGCGATTACATGAAACAACGGCGTGATTTCGCGTTTGCGCGGTGTCGGCCGGTTTCTGTCCGCCGTTCTGCGGGTGAAAAATATTTGTATCCGACTTTTTTGTCCTTCTGTAACCCCGGGAAAAGCGACAGCGTATCCCTCCCCGTCCGTCGCCGAGACCGCGCTCGCGCGCGCCGTGTGTCGTCAGAAATCTTTTTTTTTTTCTTTTACCTTTGTGTAAAATTCGAGACCAGATTGCCACGCACGATCGCGAGCATTTTACAAGCCCGACCGTTTGATGAAAGTTTACCCTCTCTCTCTTTCTCACCTCCACAATTCGAGATCTCGCTCTACTCGTCGTACTCGGTCGCATCGTCCCACACGTCTCTCGTTCTCGCTACGTTTATTAATCGCTAGCCCTCGTTTAATTAGATTCTTAAGTATGTAATAAGCAAAAATATGAATATAATAATAGTTTTGTGTATATAATAATTATTATTTACTCATTTTAAGTATTCGATAGGATCGTGATTATTTAATTAATTAACAATGATTAAAAGAGTGTAAGAATTTGTTTTACTCTCCTCCTTCTCCTCCTTCTCCTCTTTCTTTCTCTCTCTTTCACTCTCTCCTCTTAGTTCTCTTCACCTTTCACCCTTCCCGCGCGCGTCTTGCCTCATTTAATAACTAATAACTCTTTAAGCTTATAATGGCATTGAAAATGCTCGTTGGAATTGACTCGTGTGTACAATATATTGTAGTAATATCCCACCACCTCGCGCTCCGTTATTATACCTCACTTCCAAGTCTCTCTCTCTCTCTCTCTCTCCCTCTCTTACACAACCTGCTGTCTCTGCGAAAACTACTCCGGAGAGGTAAGATGGTCGATATAGACTGAATCTCCGTTTCTCCTGAAGAGATACGGCGATGCGACCTACGAATTCACCCTCGACGTCGCACTATCGCGCGATGACCGCGTATAATCCCCTCACCCCTCCGATAGCTCTCGCACGGCGTAATCTCAATTCGCCATTAGCTCGAATTTGTCTGTCTATCTACCTACCTATCTACTTGTCCGTCCGTCTGTCCGTCTTTCCGCCTCCCTAGGTCGGAGACTCAGTGTTTCCTCTTTCTCACAGTTCCTCACACTCTCTCTCTCTCTCTCTCTCTCTCTCTCTCTCTCTTTCTCTCACTCTCATTAGTTTCCCCTTGTCCCATTGCGCGGAAATACTTTCTTGGATCACCATTAATTTATCACAATAGACGTTTGTCCTCCCCCGATCAGAACTTGAACGCGGGACAACCGCGGCTTGCCGCCGCGCGCGCGCGCGCCGCATCGCGCGAGATCGCGCGCGTCCACAATCAACTACGCCCTTAATTAACCGCTAAATTACCTTTTTCTTCTTCTTCTTTTTTTTATTCTTTTACGCTAGAGAATCTTTAAAAAAATCCCCTATCGGAGAGAGAAACGGTAGGTAGTTTTTTGTAACAATGTGTAATCGACTAGTCTTACGTTCTAGAAGTAACTCTACGAAGTTGATTATACTGTGACTAGCACAGCCCGTGGATGAAGTTGCGCCCTTTGGACGAAGGGCTTGTTTCTTTTATTATTTCTCTCTGATTTTTTTTTTCTTTTTGTCGTTTATCCCCTCTTTTGTTTCCTCCCGTCGGGGGCTCTCGATATATACTCGTCCCTCCACCGTTCTTTCTCTTTTCTATTAGCTACCTCGTTCGCGCACAGCAACCGTCTTCCGCTACTCTCATTTCCTCGCCCTTCCCTCCACCTCTTTCTACTCTTCTCTCCGCTCGCTCTTACTCTGAGATCCTCCAAGATCGATGTGTAGTCCCTTTCTCGCCTTTTCCGGTTTTTGCTGGAGCGAAACGAATTCCCGCGCACGTTTTCGCTACGTTATGAACTTCCGTACGTTTCGTACTTAAAGACGTATGTACAAATAGATTCACGACGCTGCGTTATAAGTCAGTGCTCTCTGGCCTTTCTTTTCCTCTACTTTTTCTCCCCCTCCCTCTCTCTCTCTCTCATTCTTTCTCATTCTTTCCTCCTCCCGCGCTGAACAATAGGAGCGCGCGTCCAGCTTTCGCGCGAATTACTTAAATTTAATCCCTAACGCACGCCTCTTGTAAAAAAATATAAAAAATGGACGTGGACAATAATACCGATCGGAAATCAGAAGCTAATCTCGAGAATTACCAAGTCTAATCTCGCGTCCCGATTCGTGCCGAGCGCTCGGATCCTCGTCTTCTCTCGCACGTCCTTCCCATCCCGATCTGTTTATTACGAAACGTGAACCAGCGCCAGCTCTCTCGGAGTCTTCGATCTCACGTATTTCGCTCTCCGAATTCGCGCGTTCATCCCTTAAACTCAGCGCGAATCGACGTCAGCGAAACTACTGACTAACTCCGTGAAACTTCGGACACGTGAAGTACGCAACATGTCCGGTGAACGTTCAAGCTCGGATTCGCGCGTAAACTCGAGATAAGCAGCCTTCGTTCTTCCCGGAGACGAGAACGTTCCGTCGACGTGGACGTTCCTACAGTCTGGATCGACTGCGTCGAACTCGGCAGCGAAATACGACGAACGTGTTATCGTATAAGGAAGAATGGAAAGCTTATATCGGTTGTGTATCCTACGCAAGTGAGATTACGTGGTGTACGTGTACGTGTACGTGTAATCAATAAGTGCCACACTCGTCGGAGAAACAAATGTAGAACAAACACAGTTGTTGTACACGAATACACTCCCCTTGCATGGGAAAATGGGCAAAACTGTGTCTCGATGCGATCGGTAGAATGGCGATGACACGGGTCAACGAGATTCCTAGGTCAAAGAGAGCCTCGACTGATTGTCGTTGTTTCGAGGATTGGATTCGCAACGAAACACGCGTCGGGAACTTCGTCGATTTCGCTCATCGCGATATGGATGTAATCGCGAGCACGATTCGGAGCACGATTCGCACAAACGCACAATCAGTCTCGACGTTCTTTGTATGGAAAGGGAAAGCGAAAGTGAGGAAAGAAAAAAAAAAGAGAAAAATCGAACCTGTCGACCGGTGCCACCGTAGAAGAAATACGCCTAAACCTACGAAGAGCCCCGTGCCGAAGAAATAGTTCGGTTGTTAAGAGAGATCTTTCTACGGAACTGCGAAATTCGCCGGGCGACGAATCTACCCGCGAGCTATCCGAGCCTACCCCTACTTACCCTCTACCTAACCTATCTACCCTATCCTACGAAAGCGACAACTTGTTGTTTTGTGCGATTCAGCTCGATGCACACGAGGAGATGCGAGTGAAGTATCGCGAGCAACGACTCGTCGACTTCGATGCTGCGTCGCAAGTAGAGTCGTACGTATGTACCGAAGAATTATAGCGTATGTGCCGGGGGAAAGCGGATCCGCGCTTTTCGCGCAGCGACAAGTGTTACCTTACATCGTGTATGTATCGTAGAAAGCGGAAGGGTAAAACCGTGTATGTGTTTGTATGTATGTACGTGTACGTTTCGAGTGTTTGTGCGCGCGTATGTGTGTACTCTACAAGCGTGTCTCGAGTCGATCGACTTGGCGCCTCGCCGTTAATCTCCACCCGAGTAGCCCTGGAGCGCGCGTTGTCGTCGACCTGAGCCTACCTCTGACAGATACGCATTAGTATCCGTCCATTTATTCTTCTATGTTCGCTCACGTCGATCGCTCGCATCAACTGGGTACGGAAACGCGCGAATACTAATAAGGTACAAGCGGAACAAACGAGCGATCGAAGATGAAATCCGCGTTGTGCTACGAGTTGTGTCAGCTCAGTGCAGGTTTGTCGTGTGCAGGTGTGCGTGTGTGTGTGTGTGAAAGTGTGTTTGTAAGGGACAAAAGGTCGAAACTATGATAAGAGACTTGAAAAGGTAGGTCAACAACCGGGTACGCAAATCAGAGACGCGGAGAACGAAGCGTGTGATCCGTGTCGTACGTCTGGTACCCTTTCCCGTAGTAGTTGTTGCTGCTGCCGCTGCTGCCGCTGCTGCTGTCGCCAACGACCTGACCGAGGTGTCGCGGAGGTCAGGTCATACTCTCCCTCCTTTGGGTAGAGCGACGGCTTCCCGGGTTTCGGAGCGCGTCCGTGCGCTTCTCCTGCTGCTCGTCTCGCGACCACTTCGCGGCTATTGTCGTCCTCTATTTTACTAGCGAACCGTCGTCGTCGCTCCGCGTGCCGTTGGACTGGCAGTCGACTACTAGGTGACCTCCGGGTTGGCGGCTACTAGGCTGGCCCCTGGGCTAGATGAGGGCGAGCTTTGGGGGACAGCAGCCACCCGCGAAGTGACCGCTGGCTGCCTCCCGTTCCCGCTTGCGACGGCCTTGGCGTTCTGCAGTCTGATTCAAGAAACGTACGCATTATACGATAACGCGCAGACGGCGCATCATATTCGCGCGCTCGAGTGTCTAGATGTATGCGTGCACGTGTATATATGTATGTGCGTATGTAAGTGTATATGTGTGTGTGTGTGTTTGTGTGTATGCGTGCGCGCGCGCACACGTAACGGCAACACCGAATGATCAGGCAGGTAGTATGAAATAATACCGGCGAGACCATATGAGACAGAGTAGTTGAAACGCATCTAAGCGTTCCCTGGTGATCCACACATTGCGCCAACCCGTCCACGGACAGCTCGTGCTAATTACGTCGAATTACGTGCTCCTAGCTGAACACTGAAATTCTCTGAAGTCTGAATTTGAAAAGAATCTCAAACAAGTCTATTCTTTAGACGACAACAATAGATCTTTCAGGGTGCCATCTCGCTCCGCGGAAGACAAGCACTTTCCGCACTGATATGTTCAGAACGTTAAAAAAAAAAATGTCAAACCTGACATACTTTCGCGAATCCCAGGTGTGTCGGAAATTAAATTGAAGCACACGACTAAGGAAAACACACTTGACAGTTAAGAAGAATATATTCTTTTACCTTGTTTCTTAAGTTTGAATTAGTCGTGATTCTTCCCGCGAGAATACTTGGACACTTCGAACGATTCGGAACCCCATGGTAAGTACATACGAGTGCAGCAGCCGCGGTTAGGAGTGGAAACCGAGCGCTGGTGCAGCAATTGGCCGCGTCGCGCGTATGCAAATGCTCTTTCTCACTAGACGTATCCGTGCGCGGGTTGCCGGCAAAGTGATCATCAAGGAATTCGGTGGATTCTACGTAGATTAAGCGACACGGGTAACACGGGTATCGTTGTACAAGAGACACTGAATATACCGACGACGAGACATTCAGAACAGTAAACACGAAGCACCGTCAGACTGCGTGCGGCCGAGGCACGTTACACAACACACGATCCCGGGATATAACGTGTAGACATATGTAACTCGTTAATTCGTGCGCCGTGAAACAGAGAGTGCGTCGGGGGACACGTAACACGGCGGAAGCGACGGAGCGAATTCCCTCCGGCGGAAGAGGCAGGAACGATAAACGAGCACTTGTTTCGCCGAAACAATCGCCCTACTACTGTTACGGTCATTACTTACCGGTCGTGAATCGTCCCACGACAAGCTGCATTAGTACACACAGAAGAGGGAGACTTTAGAACTTTTACATGTCGTTTCTTTTCGTACGTATAAGCCTTTCGTGTGCTAAACGAGTATGTCTCATCTACGTAACTAATTGTGCGTGCACATCGTTGCAACAGGAAATGCAGCACGTACACGCGCGCCCGGGATACTAACTTGATCTTGGACTGCCGCATGAATTGCTGGATCTTCCGCGCTGCCTGATGGGCTGCCTGCTGATGGACCGCCTGCTGTCTGGTGCCGGCCGAGCCTGGCCGCGCACGGTAGTTCCGATAGTTGTTCTGGATCACCAGAGCGGCCTTCGTGGCTTGCCTGCAACGAGAGATGGCAGCGGCGTGAAGGACGCCCGAGGAAAATCTAATGTGAAGAGAGTACTATGTGAAAGGAGAATTCATACCTTGGCAGAGAAGTAAAAGACAGAGAGGCAGAAGCCAGTCAGAACATGTGTGACAGGCACCGTTTTCTTTATTTATGTTTTTTTCTTCACATTTTTTTCTTGACAGAAAAGTAGAAGAACCACTACTTCTGATTGGCTTCTGCCTTTCTGCTTTTCTGCCAAGATGTAAATTCTCCTTAAATTTTTCACGGGAAATTCTCGTTGTTTGTGTATGCAAAGTATCCATGTTTTAAAAGGACCATTTCGCGATTTTGTATTCACTGTCCCCCTCAAGATAAATACTAAAAATAAAACAATATAAAAATAAGCACATGAGCAACATATCCCTGGCATCATATAGACCCGGCCTCCCCTATTTCTCGCAATAACACTGTTTATAAGTCATGATAGACAGCAACGTAACTTTTAAGACGCTATTCTCCCGTCGAAAAATTCTCACGTGCGTACGCAAGACGCGGATTAGTCCAGCTCGTTAGACATTCGCAAGCTGGAGCCGCAAAATAGAATAATTGCCGTTGTGCAAAAAGTTTGCAGCGAGCGCAGTTTCGGGACGCACGCGACAACGCTATAAAATTGAAAGCATTCCCGTCGAAGAGATATTACGTTTCGACCTTCGCTCTTCACCCGATGACAGCTGAAATTGGCGGCGCGCCCGCGATCCCTCGGTTCGCTCCTCGCTCGCGATTCGCGTTTCCGCGGAGATTTCGCGATGATAACGTACGTTATATATATATATATATACATATATGCATAGAGCGCTGATTGTAACTAATTTTGGAGGCATTACACCGGGAAGTTGGAATCGCGGCGTGTATGGCTCGGCGATGGGAACGAAGAACCAAGCAGTCAAGCAAACGAGCCCACCGCCGCGGGGCGTCTCCGTCTTCCCGGCGAAAGTCGTATTAATTTAATGCCAACTTAATTCTGTATTCAGGCCACCGTGGTAGAGGCGAGCGAGTTCGCGAAGTTTCCGAATTATTTACGATGCCAATTAAAAGTTCGCCCCGAGAGGTACACGGGTCGAACTTTGGTAGCATCAGTCTAATTCAGTCAGGTCGTTAAGTCGGCCCACAATGGTACGTCTTGTTCCCCGTTATTAATTGTCGCTTATTAAGACGACCAGCTCCTCTCCGTGCAGCGGCGGGATATCGATGGAAATTTAACTTTCTGAGTTCGAAGCAATTTGGCGATGTCTCCGCGATGCGAGATAATGATCTGTCATACTTAACAACCTTGAGCTTACTACCCCGTAGGACACGTGCCCGTACAAAGACCCGGAAACGGGACCCGTATCTACTTCGCACGCATCGCGCCAAGTACACTGAGAAAAAAGAAAGGGTTGAATCTAACTGAAATTATTTCTGGCCCTAACTATATTTTTTGGTTGCTCTAACACGAAAATTGTAGTATCGTATTGTAGTATGTATATGAGGTTCGTAATCACTAACACTATAGTAGAATTTAATTATGTTATGGTTATAATTATGATGTTATAATTAATTAAAATTATGATGATTAGATTAACTGTATAGCTTGTTAGTTCCCCAAATGATATGTCCGGAAAATCCTTGTACTAAAATATAAAATTTTTTTTTATTTACTTGAATTATTGTATTTTCTTAACTCACAGCAAATACAAATTAAATATATTTCGTATTCCATTTTTCAGAGCGCTCTTTAGAGAGAATAGCGATAAAGAAAAAAGAAATTTAAGGTCCATATTAATAGTTATTACTTGAAACTTGTCCCACGTGAAATACTCAGATGTGAATTTAGAGTTACATTTAAGTTTCTTCTTTGAATTACATATATACGTAACATAACATTTCCAATCGCGATTCAGCCGAAATATTTGCATCTAACTATAAATTCAAATCCGAATATCTCACTTGAGGCAGGTTTCAAGCAAAGACTATTAAAATGGGCCTAAATATGCTTATTAAAAAAAGACCTCCGCCCTGGGAGGAATCGCGCAGTCATTTTAAAAATCACCACTAAGAGGTTAAATACAGTTAGACATTAGATACAATTAAAATTAATAAATACAATGACGTAATATAACAACAAAGTAAAAATGAGCACAAGAGCGACCGAAGGGATTGCGGCAAACCGACAGAGGAAGTATTACCTCGCAAACGAGAAGACGAGAATTACCTGTGATAAGCGTATTGCTTGTGACGGCGGTAGTACTGTTGTATAAGAACAGCGGCGTGCCTCTCGGCCTCCTCCTGCCTCTGACGACCCTTGTAGCTCCGGTACGCCTTCTGGATCATCCGAGCGGCATGATAAAGCTCTCGCTGTTCACGGTCAGACAACGTCAGCCTGCTGAGGTCCGCCTCGTTGCCGTCGCCGTTACCCGCGCCAGTCGCCGTGATCGCGCCTGAGATCCCGGTGCCGATCATGCCGTTGAGCTTGCGCTCGCCGCAGCCGTTCGCCGGGTAATACTGGCCGCTGTGGCCGTTGCCGCCGTCCAGCTGCAGCTGCAGCTGCAGAAACTCGCAGAAGTCGGCGGTGGTGGGCGGCGGGGACGGCGAGTCCGGGGTCAGGCAGCTGCTCGACGGACTCGAGGGACTGGCCTCGGCGTCGGCGTCCGAAACCGACGCAGCTCCCCCGCTGCAGTCGCGGTACGAGTCGAACAATTCTCCGGAGTCGAGGGGCTATAAGCAAGTCGATTAGCATGTAAATTGAGTTTTCGTGAGCGGCGGACTTAGAAACTTCGGCGCTCTCGTTTGTCGAGGAGGGAGAGAAAGACGTAGAGGAGCGACGAACCGCTCACAAAGTTTTGCTCCTAATTATTCGGGTATGCCGGAATCTGGATTTGAAGCGGGTCCCTACAATACCTCGGGATCGTCGCGCTCAAGAACTGTATTATGCGCGACGGAAGTTTCTACATTCGTGCGATTAATCGGCATTACCACTGGCTCGCGTGGCCCGACATTATACACCGCTCTTACTCACCATTTGCTCCATTAGGGCGTCTTCCAAGGGTGACAGAGGCGCCGTCGGAGGCGGTGGCGAGCTGGAAGACGGAGAATCACCTTCCGCCCTCTTGATCCTCTCCGGTAGCGCCGCTATAATCTGCTCCGCCAACGTCAGCACCCTCGCGTCTTCCTCCCCTGTAAAAAGGCAATCACTACCCTAGTGAAACTCGAAAGACTCGTGGAGCAGGGCCGCCGAAGTCACACATCGAGATCACAACACCGAGGTTTTATAAAAGCCGTGAACACGTCTACGAGGCAGTCGAGATGACTCAGTGTCGAGAGAAAGTGAAGTAGCTTCGACAGCAACTCTCGAGCGCGCGCTCGTCCGCCTATGCACCGCCGAGATCGCCTACAACTCGCGAATCGACACACTCGGACTAAAGGTACGATCGATGATGAATGCGCGCTGTCACCCTACTTGAGTTGGCGGAGGTCGTCTCGTCATGCTGTGAGATCTGTCAGCCGTATGGGCATCGGCTGGACAGATCATGAACTGTTCCGTTCAAGCGAGAATTCGCTTGGACCATGAGTCGCACTACAGAGCGGAGGCATTTAAAAAAACCAATCGCGCACACAGAGAGATCAAAGAGATCGTCGCCACTCGAGAACGCCGCCGAGACAGCCCACGATAGTAGGTACCGATGTTGGGTGGCTAGGAATGTTTAGATTTTACACAGCAATATTCATCCAACACCAGCACGCGATTACGAAGGCCAAGCAACATCAATACTGTTCAAGCTGCAAGAGTCCAGAGGAGAGTTAGAGAGAAGGCAGCGGAGCCGTTGAGCGAGTCCGATCGTCATGTATGCACACAGAAAGAGAGATAGAGAGAAAGAGAACATTATTGTATTGCGTGTAATTGGTGTATTTGTATGTGTGTGTATATGTGCAAAAACTGTATATCAGTATGCGTGCGTATGTGTGCGTATACATATGTGTGTGTGTGTGTGTAAATGTTCATGTGGTTCTGCGAACGAGGAACGCAGCTTCATCTAGGAGCTCTACGGAATTCGCAGCTCACGTGATTACGTGGTTATCGTCTAGGCCGGTATCCGGCCTATATCGGTAGTGTGTCACAGACAGAACAGACAGATTTACACGGATAGTTCACAGACAGTCAGGCAGACAGACAGATAAATAGAAGAGGAAACGAGGATGGTACGGACCTACGGTCTCCTGAGGGGTCGGAGCGCTCTCCATTCCCTGTTCGCTGAGGCCTAACGACGACTCATCCTCTTGCAACAACTCCATGTTGTCCAGCAGCGGCGAGCCACCTGTGTTTTTCGATAAACCCCACTTAAATGCTATTGCCCGATGCGTTTGTCGCTCTCGCATGACTTACGGCCTTTTTTGTGATTCTATGCTCTTTTTAGACACACAAGTGACGGGGGAGAGTATGTGTGGCGCTGGGAGGAATAATAATTGGCAAGAGGAACGACGAATATATCTAGTATTATAATATAGCTGTATGTAAATGTGAATATTGTGTGTGTATATATATACGTGTGTACGTGTGCATGTCTGCGTGTGTCTATATGGGGAAGAGAGAGAGCAGTATAATAACAAACGAGACTAACACAACGCCAGATCGAGGCCGCTGTCTTGAGAGGGTCTCCTAGGACTAGGGCTGGCGGGTCGCAAGAAAAGCCTCTCATCTTGTCTGCGAGCCTCGAGCTGATTGAGTTCCTCGGCGATCGCCGTGTGACCGTTCTCCGCGGCCAGCTCGGTCGCCGTTCTGTTCTGACAGTCCCTCACGCGAAGCGCCATCGCGTTCCATCTGCGAAGGCAACAGCACGATGACGAGTGCCGGTTAGAAGTAGTCGCTTTAACGACGGATACTATTTCGCCAAAAACAATCGCGAGATTGATCGAGAGCGCTCGGGGGATGGGTGAACGCTCGTGGGCTCTCCCCGTGAGCTGACCTGTAAAGAATCCTGGCGGTGTCGGCGTGTCCCGCCGCGCAAGCCCAAGCGAGCGGCGTGAGGCCGGCGCTATCTTGCCTAAGAGCATCGACCTCGGCGTCCAAAACGCTACTAGGATTTTCCGCTCTCCAGTGAAGAAGTGCGCAGGCTAACCTGGAGTATCCCAATCCGGCTGCCAGGTGCAAGAGAGTAGGCCCGCCGGATTGAAGAGGTTCCGCTCCAGCTCGCCAAGGACGGACAACAGCATCCTGGAATGTTCACCGAGCGCAACTGTCAGTCGTGAGCTTATAGTGAATTGCAATAGCCGCATCGCGGGTATCCCGTTTCCAAAGTCGATCTTGGAGTGGGACGATCGCGGTACCTGGCAATAAGCAACCAGTCGCTCTTCCAGATGAGCCGCGGGAGACGGCGGACCTGGCCCTTGCAGACGCGCCTCGACATCCGCAAGACGGTCCAGCAGGGCCTTCTCTGGGCTGGGTTCGCTCGTCGGCGCTCTACGGTATTCGAAGGCAACGCTATCGGACACGACGAAACCGTCGCAAGCCACTTGAAGGGACGCTATCCCCGGTGCGTGCGCAGGACATCGGCAACGCAGCACACCCGGCTGCACGAGGCACGCTTCGACTGGTTCCGCGTCGAAAAGTACCGAATACGATTGGGAACCGCTACCACCGGTCCATGGACCGGCGACTAATACCTGCAACACCACGGAGCCAGAATTGTAGTCGAGGACAATCCTCAGCAACGCTGCGAGTATCATCTCACGCCGTGTCCGATAATTCAGTCGCTCAAGTATGAAGATTTCATATCACTTGGATTCAATTTGGAATCTGACACGGCCTATTCAAGCATCAATTAAATACTGCAGTTCTTTCTCTATACTAAGAAGTATTATTAAACAAACTGGACCAATCAACAGACAATAAGAGCCGGATTGCAGTTCTTATTTGCATATATTTAATCAATCTTGCAAAATTTGTAATATCGGATTCGCGGCAGTGTTATTAATTTCAAGTGCATCTACTCACTTTTACACCGCCTTCGGTGTAACTCCACTCGGGACTATATTCTGCAATATGGACGGTTGTACCAGGATGACATCCGACTTCGTTCTCGGGACCACCCCGCTCCTCGTGTTTCGTCTGATCGGCCTCGAAGTCGTGCAGCTCCGGCAGGTCACCAAACACGTCAAACGCGTCCAGGTTGACCAGCACGTCGTCCGACGAGTCGATAAAGTCCATCGGATTGATCATGCTGTTGTCCGCTGGCGAGGGCGACGGCGACGGCGGCACCATATTGGCCGAGAGTGTCCTCTGGATGTCCTCCTGGCTGAGATCCAGCGTTTCCGCGAAATCAGTGACCTCGGAGCCGGAACCGCCAATCGGCAGAGGCTGCACGGCCGACCTCTCCATGTTCTCCTGCGCGTCGATCTCCTGCTGTGTCTGCTGTTCCCTGTCGACGCTTGTCTGCGGCACGATTTGTTGCTCCGCAACCTGTTGCATATCCACCTGCTGACTCTGCTGTTGCTGCTGCTGCTGCTGCTGCTGCTGTTGGTGTTGCTGCGGTTGCGGCGGCTGCTGCGGCGACTGTTGCTGTGGTTGCTGCTGCTGCTGCTGCGGCTGCTGTTGCTGCTGCTGTTGCTGCTGCTGCTGTTGATGCTGTTGATGATGATATGGTTGACTGTTGAGTATCAGAAGACCACCTCCGCCTTGAATTTGTTGTAAACTTAAAACTAGAGGAGCCGGCTGTTGACTCTGAGTGGAATGGGAATGTCTTGAGTACACGCGGGGAGCGGGAGCGGCTGTCGTCGACGGTTGCTGACCTCCCGTTGTCGAAGAGACCTGTTCGAGAAAAGATAAATGCATATAACGCAGAAATTCGTTGAATTGCGTATCATTTCATTAGCTCCGAACATGAGTTACTTTACGAACACGAAATCAGAATAACATGACGCATACTGCTTAGTATTCAGTTTACTATTTATAAAAGAAATATGACTAGAAATCCGACGAACTTTTGCAAGCTCCAAATGAAAATAAATTTCGTTTATCCATATAATATAAAATTCATAATTTTATTCCACACAAACAAAAATGTGTTACAGAATCTTCGTTATCATTTATACGCAATATAAAATATATTTTTTTAAAGGCCTCGTTATAAAAAAGAAAAAAGATTACTCGCTAACTAATCGAGGAATTAATCGAGGAGATAACATCTAATGACATGAAAATTAATAAAATACTCTGCTGTTGGAATTTATTTCTTTGTGTTCATCTTAAACAAAATTATGAGAAATTCCCGGTAATAAAAGATTTCGAAGTTATCGTAACGGACATATCCACGAGGTCTAAAATATTGCGTATAAATAACATTTTGGTACGAACTACGGTTTGAACCTGATTGTCGGGCGTGAGTCTCCTAGGTGCGAGCTGAGTGTTGCTGGTAGAGGAGGTGGAGGATGCCCTCTGCCTGTCGAGCAATTGAGAGACTATCATGTCGACGGGATGGCTCGAATGCTGCGTGAGATGAGGATTGTTCGGGTCGTCATCCCCGCCGAGGAACATGGGCCTTAATTGCGACGCCAATTCGTCCCGCGTCCACTCCTTCTTGTCTGGCGGCAATGCGAGACATGGCGGCAGGGCAGCCAGCTTCGCATCGCCGTCCGGATAAGGAACGTTCAGATAGTGGACAAGGACAACGTCCGGGTTCTGCAGTAGCCAGTAACACCGGCGATGAAACGTCGGCAGGATCGCCGAGTGCACATAACAGCCATAGATGCACTCGACTCCCTGAACCTGCGGTCGAATACCAGGTATTGTTATTATTTCTTTATTATTATAGAATCATTATTACGTTTTATTATGCCATAAATTATTAATATCATCATAAATTATTATATTACATCAATATATTGTCAAGCGACAATTTTTCTAATTTGGTGCAATATGGATCACGAAAATTCTCAACTCGAAGATACAATAAGCAAAAAATACATGAAACTTTATTAATGGGATATGAAGTTTATTTACAAAAATTCTGTTTGTGTGTCTCACAGAAATAGACTTTATTCCGCAGAAATGAACTCTAAATCCCAGAAATAAATTTTGAAGAATCTTTCTTTTTAGCATAAAGGATTCTGATATCTTCCCAAACTGATAATTATTTTGTATACTTTTCAGCATTAGAGGCTTGAAATTACCTTCAATTTCATGTGATCCTCCCGTGTAGTCTTTCCATCTTTTCTCTTCTTCCAGCAGTAACCGTCCCGCCGGTAACGTACCTTCTTTCTCGAGTACAGTAACATCGAACCACTTCGTGGTCGCACTTTAACCTCCCGACTCTGCCATTCGGCGTGCCTCTGAAAACTGATCAGGATCGCGGCGATTTCCTGCGAATCAAAGAAAGAAGAAAGATAAGAGTGAATCGCTCGCGATCGAGAGGAGCAAGAGTGATCTTCGTGTGAACGTGTTCAAAATGCAAAAAGATTTTATGGAGGGCGAAAGATTTCGCGATCTTTATTAATTCAGCGCGCGCTCGTCGTAATCAACAGATCGTGAGGGCGAATCGATTAATCATCCTTACGCTCGCGAGATCCCGGACGGAGTATCTCCGTCCTGGAGAGGTTCTCTCGACCTTTCAGCTGGAAGATCAAGTGGGTACACTTAACATAATGAATAATTCAACGGAGGCACATACGCGTCGGCGTATGAAAAATGGAGAGACTGTCTTCGGGTCGTCGGATATCTCAGCCCGCGTGGCGTGTAGACCGCCATAAGACATGCGAAATACACACACGTCCGCTCCAACATACGCTCGCATTCATGCGCCGCTAACAATAACACAGCGCCGTTATTACGGCTCATTATTGATTTTCGCCGCGTGAGGAACCGCTTTCTCCCAGCGCGATTTTCAGCGAACGGTACAACGCCGCGGCATTAAACGGCGGAGCAAGTGACGGCGGCTCTTTATGTTAAAAAAATGCAATTACCACGAGGGCTTTCGATGTCGCGTATCACGATATCCCGTCTGCGATACCCTCCCTCTGCCGCACCCTCATCCGGCGTGCCAACAATACGGCACGCAACAATCGGCACTTAACCGGCCCGCACGATGCGCATAATCAGTAAATAAAAATGCAAAATTCGCTTCTAGAAATATCCCCTATGTACGACATGCGATGCTTATCGGCAGAATTCAGGCTACTCCTGAGGACATAAAAGAAGAAAGCAGCTTCCACGCGCGCGCACGAGTGCGCACTCACGCGGGTGAGAAAAAAATGTAACACCCGCGACGCGACGGCAGGGGGTGGCCGAGGGTGGCGACACGCGACCTAACGTGCAATGATAGAAGTTGATGCACGCGGCCGATCCGCTATTCCTCGATCCGGGGAGATTCGATAACGAGCTGCGACGACTACGACGACAAGCGCGGCTTTTAGCCACAATTGAACGCGGAGCGATTAGTGAAATTCCGAAGGAACGCGAGCGAGTAATCGGGCGGCGAACGCGGCCGCGCAATTATTCTCGCTATGTAAAACAGTAATTAGCACGATAACGGAGGGGAAAGGGGACTAAATCGCGTCGCTGCAGTTTACAGCTTACTACTCGCAAGCTCGCAACGTGGCGGTCGCCATGTTCTCTCTGACGCGCGTTAGCGCGCGCCCCCTAATTGCTGAAAATGAGACTATCGCATGGGCGCAATTAAATCAAATTAAAAGCGACACTCGGGAAATGTCGTGTGTCATGGCGCAACGGCCGTGGCCGTTTGTTAAACATTACTATTATCGACGAAAAAGAGAGAACGGGAGTATAGAGTAGAGAAAGAGAGAGAGAGAGAGAGAGAGAGAGAGAGAGAGAGAGAGAGAGCATAATAAACGCAATTCCCACGATATTCTAATCAAGCTGGGTTTGCCCTCCACCGTCGAAAATCTACATGAAACGTCCGCGAAGCGTACGCCACCTCGACGAACCTAAATATAATAACGTAATAAAGCGCTTCGCCTAAAAATTCTCTTCCGATTCAATTTTGCTGATTTGGCAGAGTGCCCCGCGCACATCTACGAGAAAATTATGGAACACTACTAAATATGCATATCAGCCGGAATATGTATCGCGCGCGCTCTCTTTCTCTCCCTCCCTCCCACCCTCCCTCTCTCTCTCTCTCTCTCTCTCTCTCTCTCTCTCTC